CTTGTTTACAAATGTTTTCAGATCCATAGGAAATTTTATTTTTGTGATCACATTTTTCGAACAAAAAAAAAGAATAAGTGTGCTATGTTATGCTGTTTCATTTAAAACTGTACCTATTTTTAGTTAATAAATTCCTTGTAAATCAGGAATCGCCATAGTATTTTAACTACAATTTACATACTAAAATTACAAGTAGGGATACATATAATAGTTTGGTKTATAAAAAATGAGATTTAAATTTCAAAAGAGTTTCTTACTTAAAATATTATGCGCTATATATACGTACCTACTTAGTACTTATCTATATTATATTGAAGTTATAGTTAACAAAATTTATACAATATATCCATTAAAATCGTTACAAATTGTAATCATGCGCTCGGGGGTAAAAAGTTTTGCAGGTTTTAGGATCGTTGGCGGACTTATCGTCGTTTCCGTAACCGTCGGTCGGGGGTTGTTCGCCTGGCAACGGGTCGCGGAACGTACCGGGTGGGCGGTAACTGATTGTGTACACGGTGCGGCCGTTGACGGGCTCCTCCGATCGGCAGTACGGGGGCAGCGACCGTGGCCGGTACAACGCCATTGGGCTCCAMTTCTGGTAGCTTGAGCTGGTCTCCGTCTCTTTGGCCATCTGCARGTTCGGGCCCTGCGACCAGACGGCTGTGGACGGGCGCGCCAGGGGCCGTCGTCCGTCACTCCACGGGGTCATGAATGCGTCGCCCGTGGTGGTGTTGCTCGTCATGGTGCAGCACGTTCCGGTGCCGCAATAGGTGCCTATGGTCTCCCGTGGTCCAGCGGCCGGCTGGCGATCGGCCTCAGACAGGCACTTGGTGACAAAGTCATGTCGCTGTGACGTCACGTTTTGCATTTGTTCGTGCGTGCCGCCAACGAGTTCATGATCGCAGATCACCGCGGGAAGAGTCCGGTCCACGTCCGGCCACTCGCGAAAACTGGCCCGGTGCACGGTCAGCCGGTCGAGTTGTTCGCTGCGACCGTCATGCCTGGGCCAAATGCCCTCCGTCGGTACCGCGGTGCGCTTGCAATTCTTGAGTTGTGGTTCGGGCTGCTTGAACGATTGCCTGCAGCGTGGATACGTATTATAATTATAGTCGAAAAYAACGTTGAATTATTTAATATTTTAATCCATAGTAAATAGTAGATTTAATTTTTGTCAAATGTTTGGAATTAATTTGAACGAATTATAAAAATGAATAACCTCCTGAGGCCCAATGCCCATTATAATGGACAATTATTATCACTGATTTAGCGYCCAAGCTTAATTTAGTTTTTGTATTTTTATAAACCCGTTGTCCATTACAGTGAACATTTTCTCTTATCCCCACAAAAGCCCGCCAATTTTTCTTTGCTTATCTTATACTTCTATCAATATAACCTTAAACTAGTAATAATTTGGGAGGAAAAACATGTGTTTGAAAATGTCCATTGAAATAGACATTGGGATTGTAGTACTACAAAATGGAAATACGTGATGGGCCTCAGGAGGATATGAGAAAATTTGCTACTCGAAGTTCGCTTTAAATTTGACTTTGATATAATATTATATCGTCAAGGCGTATTCGTTAATAATGTATGTATAGGATCATACCTGTATGTAGATCTTCCCCAACCATCCACAGCCGGAGTGGGACATATCTTGGAGAGTGGCTTGTAAATTTGTCGTTTTCTTGGTTGCTGGTAAATTTGCATTATGTTTTTTGTATACTCAGGGACGATTTCAATTAAAATATGAATAKAATCTTCAAACTTGTTAAAATAATAATATTATTTTGCGACAATGATTGAAGCTAATATAAAAAATAGAATGTTCAAGAAATTAATATCAAATTGTTATAATATGGTACCATGTTTACTTCGGTTGGCTATGGCAACAACAATTCAAGCGGACCGGCGATTGTAAACAAACTCCGTCAGAATAATACTGGTTAGATACAAAAGTAAAGAAAACGTCTAATGTAAATTTTGCCAGTAAGTCCTTGGTTACATAAATTTTAATAATATACCAAAACCAAAGAAGCTCAAAAATTCAAAATTCAAAAAAGTAAATAGCCTAGACTGTTATAGAGAACTCAATCAATAGTAATAATAATGGAATTATATTAAGCTTAGAAGTTAAAAAATCTACAAATCGTATCACATTGTGACCTGTTAAAGTCACATTTTTACTATTATTATTAGAATAATTTACTATGAACTGTGTTTTTTTTTATATAATACACATTACAATTTGTATATTTTGTTCAGAGAATATTGTTATTTTTATTTTTAAGTTTTATACATATACACGCATATCTAACTATTTTTTAATGAGAACGATTATTATTGAAAAAAGTTGTGATCCTATATTATATTAATTTTATACACTGTTATACCAATCATTYTCACTGGAGGAGGTTATGTAAATCAAATTTTACCCGTTTTTCTTCCTGAAAAACGCTGAAATCAAAACTTTTTTATTAATAGACTGTATCATATTTTCTATTGAAAATATGTATATTTGTTATGTATAATAATAAACCGCATAAACCGTGTTTTAAAGTTTTAACTATTATCCTACTAACTCGAATGTCCCCTAATTTAGAAATTCGAGTGTTTATTGATGCTGAATTTCAACTGTCTATATATAATTATTATATTATATTAAGATGAGTATTATAAATTTATAAACAACCGGTGGCCATAATGTAATTATAATTATTTTTATTAATTAAGTTCGTCTTAGAACAATCGACTCTCTGTAGATATTAATATTAATAAATAATTTCAGACATTTCAGTGTTAAACCACACATTAAGTAGGTACCTGGGCGTAGCCCGTTTCGCCCAAAAATGACCGTACCCGTTTCGCCCGGGTACC